AAAAAAAAAAAAAAAATCAGCTTCCTGGGCAATAAGTTTTACCACCCAAATAACTGGGGGCTACTAGAACTGAAAAAAAACTCTAAGAAACTTAATCCCAGACCAGTTTCACATAGCGACAAAAACCATTCAATTTGCTTAACTGTCGCTAACTTCAGAAATACCATTTTTTAATGGTTAAAAAGAAATTTATAAGATGCTCCAAATGGAACTCTATCAATATGTAATATGTATGTCTACTTAATAACACATACTAGAAGATTGTAAACCTTTAATAGAGCCAAGATGAAGTTTAAATAAAGCAGAATTTGGTAGACTCAAAGTAAAGCTTAGCTATGTGTAAAGGGGTCAATGTCCAGTCTGGACTGCAAAGTAGACTCGGAATCGTTTTGTTTGGAAACAATAAAGTTAAGGCAGGTATACAATCTACGTCCAGAAACCCCCACCCAAAGCACTGCACCTGGGTCGTCAACGGGGGCTGCTTCATTTTTACAGATGTAATTGCAAACACCAAAGTTTGTGACGTCTGTGATTTTAGAGAACAATGTTTCTGAGTGAGTAGGAAAGCTGCAGTCACTTGAGGAAGGGGGTTATTATGATACTTTACAGCTGCAGCACGTCCTTAGGAGACACTGCATCCTGTTAACTCTGCAGCTGGCTTTATCTGTGCCGATTTTCTAGCCTGATGAACAGTTGGGCAGATTTTTTACCTTCTCTGTGTGAGCCAATTTTTACTTTCTTATGGGCAATCCTAAATGTCAAACACTGTATTGAGTGCTTTACATACATTATTTCATTTAATCTTAGCAACAGTTCTTTGAGGCAAGTGCTAGCATCCTATTTTACAGATGGGGACACTGAGTCCTGGAGATGAAGTAGTTTGGCCAGGTTTACACACAGCTAGTAAGTGGCAGACCCATTTCAAACCTGGGTCTCCCTAACTCTAAATCTAGTCTTCTTAACATCTATCCTTCAAGCAGATGTAGAAATTAAAGACTATTCGAAGTGAAATGGGTAAAATCCAGAGCTGGTTATGAGCAAGTGGCAGGCTCATGCACTATAGCTAGGACCACAGATTGAAACAATTTTTCTGGAGGCCAGTTTGGCAAATAATGTAGTAAAAAAATTAACATGTACCCTTGAGCCAACAATTAATCTTCTAGAAATTTAAGAAAATAATTTCTAAACTGCACAGAGGCATCATTAGAATTACAGCATGATTTACAAAAATAAACACACAAAAATAGAAACAATGTCAACATTTTTAGTATGGAATTAGTTAAATGACTAAAGAGATATACAATGCAAGAGTATTCAACTATTAGTAATGAAAATATACTGTACAGTAAAAGACACCAGATTACTGAAGAGCATTTATTATTTTATTTTTATCTTATTTTAATTTTTAATTTTTTTTTTGAGATGGAGTTTCACTCTTGTTGCCCAGGCTGGAGTGCAATGGTGTGCTCTTGGCTCACCGCAATCTCCGCTTCCCAGGTTCAAGGAATTCTCCTGACTCAGCCTTCTGAGTAGCTGGGATTACAGGCATGCGCTGCAGTAGAGACAGGGTTTCTCCATGTTGGTCAGGCTGGTCTCGAACTCCCGACCTCAGGTGAACTGCCCTCATTGGCCTCCCAAAGTGATGGGATTACAGGCATGAGCCATTGTGCCTGGTCTATTTTTATTTATTTATTTTTGAGACGGAGTCTCACTCTTGCCCAGGCTGGAGTACAGTGGCCCCATCTCGGCTCACTGCAGCTTCTGCTTCCCAGGTTCCAGTGATTCTTCTGCTTCAGCCTCCCAAGTAGCTGGGACTACAGACACACACCACCACGCCCAGCTAATTTTTGTATTTTTAGTAGAGACGGGGTTTCACCATCTTTGCCAGGCTGGTCTTGAACTCCTGATCTCAGGTGATCCGCCTGCCTTGGCCTCTCAAAGTGCTGGGATTACAGGCGTGATTTTATTTTTATGTAAAATTGACAGTGTATTTATATGTGCAAAATATAGAGAGAAATGTGTGGAAACATGTTTACTGTTTTTCTCTGACGTGAAAAAGTTTATTTTTAAACTTTTTGTATTGTTCTTTATTGTTGGAATATTTTGTGAGTCTGTATCATTACTATAAAACAAAAACTATTTGAAAAAAAAGAATGTCAAAGTTAAATCAGTACTTGCCTCAGTAAGTGGAGTAATTTCATGCACACTAGCCATGTATTTTATAGAACTGGAAGTCTATTATGCTTTGGAGAAAATCCAACAGGTATGTTCTAAATCTTGGCCATAGAACTAGGGTGTTTCTAGCCCACCAAAGGATTATCATTAATGTATCGAGACAATAGGGTTTGGACTAAAACCAGTTCTATCTGGGCTATAAAAGTTAAATGTTGTCTTACATTTTCATTTATAAATATCTTCCAAGCTTTTTCATTTAATTGGAGTTAGTTCTCCTTGTTGATTGGCATTGTATTTTGGGAGTAAAGAAATTTTAAACAGCTAAAGTAAATGGATTTTAGAAAGGCTACGTGTTGGGCCAGAAAGTAAATCTAATGAATCTTTTGGCCCTGTATTTAGGGTTGCTGGAGGTGGAGTTAAGGCAGTGGGCCTGTTTAGTAAATGTAGATAGAGTCTGAGAGAAGTTGAATATGACCAGAGAAAAAAAATTACCAATTGGAGACATAAAAGGGTGTTATAACTGCTTTGACAAGTGATTATGACTTGTAGAGGAGGGAGAAAAAAGTCAAAGCGTTATTACTTGAGAAACAGTACCACTTGGCTGGGCACAGTGGCTCATGCCTGCAATCCCAGCACTTTAGGAGGCTGAGGCGGGCTGATCACCTGAGGTCAAGAGTTTGAGACCAGCCTGCCCAACATAGTGAAACCTCATCTCTACTAAAAACACAAAAAATTGCAGGGCATGGTGGCAGGTGCCTGTAATCCCAGCTACTGGGGAGGCTGAGGCAGGAGAATAGCTTGAACCCTGCTGGCAGAGGCTGCAGTGAGCTGAGATCACGCCACTGTACTCCAGCCTGGGTGACAAGGGCAAAACTTCGTCTTAGAAAAAAGAAAAGAAACAGTACCACTCTAGAAAAGAACTCTCTCTTTAGCATGCATGGATGGTTATGGAAATATAAATAAGAGTGAAACTCCGTCTCAAAAAAAAAAGAAAAAAGAAACAGTACCACTCTAGAAAAGGAACTTTCTCTTTAGCTTGCATGGATGATTATGGCAATGTAAATAATGTGTAAATAATTTGTCATTCAACAAAATCTTAGCACTGTGTGTCTTGAGGATGTTTTAAAGTTAATGAAGACCCTGGGCTGCAGAGCAGGAGACTGGAAGAAGGACATGCAGGCGTTGTTAACAGTTGAAGCTGTGGAAATAAACAGTCAACCGAAGCCAGAGGAGAGGAAGGAAAAAAAGAAAACCTCGAGGATACCAACATTTTTTATGGCCCTGTAAAAAAGGAGCAGGCCAAGAAAAGTGCAAACGAAGGGAAGTTCAGAAATCAGGTAGAGACTTAACGTTGAAGACAGGGGAGGAGAGGAGTTTCACAAAGCAGGAGTTAGCAGCATCATGTGCTGTAGAAAGGCCACACGAGAGGAGGACTGAAGTGGCCACTAGATTTGGCCTTCAGCAGTGACCAGAGTCCAGTGGAGACAGGAGTACCTTGTACAAGTGGCTCATTTGTTGGCACCAGAGGCCAGAACAAGGCACTTTCACGTAGTCTGCATTGGACTAGATTGGGAAGTAGGTAGGCCCTACAGAAGGGGACGAAACTGATGAGTGCCTGAGTATTTCCAGCTATTACTGGGGATGGGGACTCTGCTGGTGGCTAGAGGTACTGCTAAGCCAGAGCTCAGGAAATGCACCTAGGGCCCCAGTAGTAGGTCTTTGACAAGAATCAGGGGAATTAATACATAAATGAGTGAATATATGAATGCATGTGGGGGTGTGGTCTAGCGATTGCTTTGTAACCAGGACAGGAAGAGGATGGTGAGAGCCTACAGTAGTAACTGCCTGTGGAAGAAGCTGCCCGTTGACTCAGAGAGGTGCCAGGGAGGTTGGTGTTTTCAAGGCTGTTAGCTTCCCCAGTTGGGAGAAGGGTGGGAAGGGCTTAAGGATTTACAGAGATTGATTTAGGGGAGAAGACACAGGAAGAGAAACAGCAGGAAACGCCGGGAGAGAGCAACAGCAGGACAGGATTGAGGAAGGGTAAGAGCACTAACTGGGCTAAGAATGCAAGAAAGGCATGGATAGATGTATGCTTCACAAGGCACTTCCATGGCGAGTCACTCATTCATCCTTAGGACAAGCCAGGGAGAGAGAGAGGTATTATATACTGCATTGCCGGCCTTTGGAATGCGGGATGTGGTCCAGATAAGGCCATCCCGGCTCAGAGAGGCTGTTCAGCCGCTGTTCGAGTCCTCCGGCGACAAGGAACACTCCACTTTTGGAAGTAGCACTTCTATTAGAAAAGTAAAAAAAAAAGAAAAAGAAAAAGAGGGAGACAAGAAGAAAGGTGTGGGCCTCTTGAGGGGTAAAGATCTGTGAATGACATTTTAGATAATTCACGGAATTGCAGAGCCAGAACGTGTCAGGCAGATCTTTTCATCTGTAAAACCAAGGAGGCAGACGATATTTCTTTTCTCTTGTCTAACAGCCTGTGAAATCATCTAGGTAACCACCTCCCAATTTTAAAGAATAAAAAACGAGGCCCGCGGGATGTGTCTCGCTCAAAGTAACCGAACACCCGAGTGGAGAGACAGGCCCGGAGCCGACTCCGCCCTGTCCTCAGGGCGTCTCGCCACTCCGCCACCTTCCCAGAAAGATAAAGAACAGCGGGAGGCGTCAGGCCGGGCGGCCTAGCTGCTAGTGCCCTGGGGTTCGAGGCCGCTTCCCGGCAGCAGTGGGAGGAACGCCCCGAGGGGAGGGCAGAGGCGGGGAGGAGTTGAGAGGGGCGGGGAAGAGTTCGGGCCTCGTTTCCCACACTTCGTTAGGACGCGGGCTGGGGCGGGTCTGTGGCCGGCAGAGGGCGCGGGACAGCTCCTAGCTCTGCGGGCCCGGCGGGCTGGGGGCGCGCTGCCCCGGGCGCGCCGTCGGATCTCGCGGGCAACGGGTCGCGGCTGCCCGACCCGCTGGGGAAGCGCGGCGGGCGGCCGGGTTGCTGGAGCGGGCGGGGCGGGGCGGGGCGCGAAGGGAAGGGGGCGGGGCCGCGAGTGGGGGGCGGTGGCGGCGGTGGCAGCGGAGGAGGAGAACATGGCGGCCGCGGAGAGCGGCTGAAATGCCTGTTCTTCAGGCCCGGCGAGCGGGAGTCTGACGCGATTTGCTGAGCCCTGTCCTCCGACGGCTGCACCCCGGCCTTGAGCGCCTCGGCCGCCTGTTCGCTGCTGCTCCCTCGAGCGGAGCCTGCGCCAGGTTCCTTTTGCATCCCCCCTGCTGGGGGACCCCTGCTCCGGAGGAGGGGGCCGGAGAGCCGCGGCGGCGGCGGCGGCGGCGGCCGCCTGGGCCCCGGGGACCGGGCGCCGGGCCCGAGGAGCGGCGGAGGCCGCGGCGGCCTCGTCTCGGTCGCGGACTAGCGAGGCGCCGGTGAGCGCGGCCCACAGGCGGCGGCGGCAGGTGAGTGCGGGCGGCGGGCGCGGAGCCTCCCGGTGGGTGCAGCTGTCACGAGCCGCGCGGCCGCCGAGGCCCTAGGGGGCGGGGAGCAGCTGGCACCCCTCCGCCCCCTGCTCTCCTTTCTCCTGCTCCATCCACCTCCCACTTCTCCGAGTTCCCCTCGCGCCCCCGCGCGGCTGGAGGGGGCGGAGGTCTCAGCTGTCACGGGCACCAGCTGGGGGCTGCTCCCCGCCGAGGGAAATCGCTGCAGCAGCGACTTCTCTCCGCCTCTTTTCCAGTTGCCCTAGTTAGCGCGGAGAGGGCGAGCATCCGCGGAGGGGGCGCGGACTGCGCGGCCGCCTGCCCGGCGTGGGGAGCGGGCGCACGGGGCCGCCGCGGAAAGAGGGAGCCGGAAGTCGGCGCGGGCGCCCCTCGGCCCTGGCGACGCCGTGACCTTGGCCAGCTTGCTCACCTCTCGGAGTCTTGCCGACCCGGACCGCGAAATGGGGGCGACCGCGGCGTCGGTTTCGGTCGGCGCAGCCCTCGACGGCGCTGGTGTTTGACCCCGGCGCGCTTGCTCGCCCCTTCCCCCGGGAAGGGGTTTCGGAGGTAGACGTGGGATGGATACTGGACATGTTCCTCCCGGGTTTGGTCCCCTTCCTGGGATTCAGCCGAAAGGGCCGAGAAAGGGAAGCAAACATGTTGACGATTGGGAGGTGGGGTTGGTTAGTGGGCAGTGACAGAATTCGGGCCGCTCTCTAGTCTGTTGGAAAAGACCTGGAGGATCGGACACCAGGGTCTCCAGTCCTTACTACCCAGCTGTGGTGGCTGCTTTTTTATTTTATTTAAAAGGAATCACCCCCATAAGTAGACATTGCCCAGTCTGACGACGTTAGAGGGAGACGGAGGGGTTGACAATACAGCCTGTGTGTGTGTGACAAGGACAGGCCACGGTGTTGTGGCCGGAGAGTTTCGTAGGAAGGAAAACTTTAAGCTGGAGGATCTGTTAGCCTCTCATGCCTGGTCCTCCTCGTTTCTTATAGAGGTGTTGAATAGGCAGGTGTCCTACTGGAGAAGGTGACATTTTTTCTTCTTAGATGGTGAATTTTTAATGTCGAGTGTGATGTTGGTGAGTGAAGGGTTCTTGAGTGAATTGCAGTCCCAGCACCCTCTGTGGATGCCAAGAGGAATCTCTGCGGCGATGATTTGTGAGGGCTGGTGCTTACATTTCAGTGATTAAGAAATCAAGTGTCTGTTTAAAACATTGCTGCTGTGAAGCGTGGATTTATATGGTACAGTTGAGGGATGGATCTCAAGGGTTAAATTTGTTTGAGATTTGTCTCCTCTTATGGAATTGGTTGGAGGTTAATCCAAAAAAAAAAAAAAAAAAGCAAACAAAACGACAACAACAACAACAACAAAAGTTGGCCAGAGGAGCCTCAGCTTGTTCCACAGAAGCTGTGATGTAGGAAGGGGCCAGATTTCTTCATGTTGAGAATAATGTGAAAAGAGTATTTGCTTGGGTCTCTTGGCTCTTGAACTAGAAATAGTTTTGGGTTAAAGGTAGCAGTGGGGTTTGATTCAGCTTAGCAAATAGGCATTCCTTGAACTATTTGCCATAAATTAGATAAAATGGAAGTGTTTCTGTTTTATCTCCTGTACTTTGTGGAAAGGTCTAATTTGGTTTTGTGAATGAATGTCTGAAATGTTTTCTGTTTCTTCAGACTTTATGCTTTGGGAACAGTGGGTTACAGAGAGGGTCTGAGTTGGGAATATACGGGTTAGAGAGAAAATAGAGGACTGCTGATTAGAAGCACAGGTGTTTAGTTTGATTTTTGTAGATATTTTCCACTGGTTATTAGCAACATTGAAGTTTGCTTTATAACGTGCAAAATGTGATTTTACATAGCTTATAGTTGATCCCTTCCTTATTTCTCTTAGAAAATCTTTAGGATTGTGCCTATTGCCTTTTTTGTGTGGTTTAAACCAAGGGAGTATTTTAGATCTACATCTTTGGGTAAGTGGTTTTATTGGGGAAAAAAATTGCTTGATAGAACTAATGGTGATTGTTTCACTTAAACTGGGATTATATAGACAATGCTTTTTCCTCCCTCTTTCTGCCAACATTTGTTTTTGTTTCTCCCTCAATTCCAGGGTTTCGTTTCTAGAAATCTGGGCTGGAAACAGAAGCAGCAGTTTGTATAATCCCAAGATCTTGCTTATGCCAGGAAGCTGTAAGGGTAACATGAAGTGGGTGTGATGTAAAGACACTGCTACTACTTCAGACATTTAACTGTTGAGGGAGTCTAAGGTCAAACTTTAATTTTTGTTGAATTTCCTGTTTTCTGTGTATGTGTTAATCTTTTGGTGGGCAGAAGATTGGGTTGCTATGGTGCTAACTGGTGTATATTGTGAAAATGCTGGCGACATTTCATGCTTTTACTCTATAGAGAAGAGTGGTAAACAAGCCTAAATAATTTAAAGATGTTCTCAGAATGGAATGTTCTCTGCGTGTCCTCTTGATCCTGCTAATCCAGTGAGCAGTCTTCACAAGGACTAAATGTTGAGTAAGTGATGAGGGTGGTACAGGGGTGCTGAAAGGTGGAGTGGCGGAGAGAGGGTATTGAGCATTTCTTGAAATTCTTTTCCCTATTGGACTGTATATCAGACTGATTTATAATTGTTTTTCAAGGACGTTTTCATTCACCCTGCTTGGTTGTCATCAATTTCATAGACATTCTCTTAGATACTACCTGTTTCGTACTTTAGTTTGTCTTTTTTGCTGCATCTTCCAAGGACCCCACATTGTTTGAATGTTGCGTTGCATATCTTATGGAGTTGGGTGGCCTTAAGCCATGTGGCTTAACATAGTTTTCATTTTAGGGCATGTGTGGGAGGTCAATACAAGCTCATAACACGGAGTAGAATCTAAGTCATGGAACATAGGGGAGCCCCGGGATTCTCATGATTGTTTTGGCAGTGGTTTTTGTCTTCTAAATATGATTATAACAAATTCTCCAAGGAACATCGGCTGCTTTCCTGGCAGAGATCCAAAAACGTTTTGGAGGGTTCCATTTTGCATTACTTGCACATGCTGGATGCTATGGTGGGCGTGGGATCAGGTGAAATCCATGTGTTTCAGGAGCTGGATATCAGAACACTGTATTTGCTCTGGGTTGCAGAACCAAATAGATTTCTCCCTATCTTATATAACTTTTCTATCCATTTGGGAAGACGAGACTGTAGGAAAGGACTTTTTAAAATTGCTTCTTTCGCAGATTAACCAGTAGTTTAGCTGTTGGTGATTGGCGACTAAGGACAGGTCTCTGTTCTAAACATTCAAGGTGAGGTCTAGTCATTTAAAAGCTTCCCTTTTCTTTCTATTTTAGTTAGACATTGTGCCTCAACATTTGGTGTCACAGGTCATAAAATGGCCTAGTGGCAACTAGATACCATTCTTGGTTGCTTAATTTCATAAGGAGATGTGGATTTTTTTTTTGTAGCTTAGTTCTGGAAAATGGTTTGTGGACATAGTATTTGGATTAATGTAGAGTATAGAAATGATTGTTATATATATCTGCAGGATACATGGGTGAATAAGGGAAATTATTATAAAACACTGATATCAACATATAAGTCCAATTCCGTAAGTTCAAGTAAAGTGAGTTGTATCCATACTTCTTCCCGTAACCTCGTCTGCAACACAGAATTTTCAAGGCTCCTTGGAGTGATAGGCTTTTAGAAAAGCTTAATATGGTCATCACATTTAAAAGATAAGTAGCTTACGCCAAAATAGAAGCTCTAGTCACTCGAGGAGTTCAGTCATTACCCTCATCTTAGATATATTTTGTTCTTACTGCTTCCTGGGAGTATGTTTTAGTGTGTGGAGAGCAGGGATGTTTGGTTTTACTGAATAGAACTGACCTGACCATTAGGCACAGACAGGCCAGACTCATAAAAATAGGTGCAAGCACAGAAGCCAAATGCACCCATTATCAGGACCAGACTTCTAATTGCACTGGATTATCCAGTTTTTCCAGAGTGATGCTTCATTTTTACCCTTTCAGCTTATAATTGTGAGGCAATTTTAAAGCATCTTTTAGAAATGGAGCTCTGACTTCAGACAGACAGAGGTGTCCTGACCCTTGATACTGAGTTGATGTAGCCTTGAGCTATTTAACCACACTAAACTTCAGTTTTTGTATTTAAAATTGAAGTAACATACATGTCCTCATATTGTAATCTTTAAATTATTAAATGTGTTTAGCATATGATTGGCATGTAGACATTAATGCTGGGTAACAATGGATGTTTCATTAGTGAATTCATCACCAAATTCTCTTTCTTTTCTTTGTAATTCTCAAAGTTTTTTCTTTATTTCTGGTTCTACAATCTGGTCCTCCTGTCATTTGCACATGGAGTAATGGGAGTCACATTGACTTTGTAGGCCTAAGTTTCTTTATAATTAAACGAGCATATTGGTCTAATTTCACATTTCTTCTTATTTTAAAATTCTGTTATTTTTAGGTTTATGGCTGTTTGCTTGCATGCATTTGCCTCTTTAATTTATCGTACACATAAATGCTGAAGAAATGCCCTTCTAAAATTTTATGTTATTGTTTTCAGAGGAGACTTTCTTTGGATAGACTTATCAAATATAAATCATTTAAACTGGTTCTTTCATTTCCCATTCCAGAAAATTTGCTGTAGATGGCATATGCAGAAATGCTTTACAAACTGTAAAGTACGACACAAATGAAGAAAATATGATGATGACCATAGATATCTTGCATCTTGGCTTTTACGTGTTCCATTTTCTTTGTATAAATTGGATTTCCTTTATGTTCTCGTGACCTTCAAAAACAGCATCAAAGCTGGTATTTTTTCAAGAAAGCTTGATTTTTATCACTCTCTTAGCATTAGTTACTCTGTTCTATATAATAAACTTATCTTTCTCTTTCTCTCTCCTCCTTTTGAGAGAGATTACCTTTTTAGTGCATGTTGATTGGTTTTCCTAAACAGATTGGAAAATGCTTGATATGCCATGAACCACAACATTTAGAGTAAAAGACCCCTAAATGATCATTTAGGACAGTCTCCTAAATGTTAATATTTACATCAATATTACAGCTGAGCAGACTAAGTCCAGGCAGATGTATTTGGGAATGGGGTTTCTTTATGAGAGTTACTTTTTGTATTGAAAGTTACAATATTACAAAGAGATTTTAAATTACAAGAATTTTGGTAAGCTTTTGAGTAATGTATAAGCTAGTAGGAAAGGAACATTTTTATTTTTTGACCAAAATTTGACTCTCAAATATTGTAAAAAGGTATTAATCAGGAATTAATTAAGATAATTCTCTCAAAAACTACAAAAGTACCTGTAGAAAAATGCCTGCTTTTCTTGTAAGGCCCTCATTCATAGTCAGCAAATATTTATTGAGTGTTGTCTTTTAAGCCAGGTACTGTACTAGCTATACATATTACATTTTATAAATGAGGAAACAAGGATCAGGGAAATTAAGTGGCTAGTGTAAGATTGCACAGCTTGTAGGTGTTAGAGATGACATTTGAGTTCAAGCATGCTGAGTGGAAATCCTATTCATACC